ATAAATTTTTNGGATAAAAACAAGGATTATGGGTGTGTCATTGAGTGGTGACTCAAAAGTTGTGCAACACTGAAAAGTCTCAAACACTGCAGAACAAAAAAAAAATAGTAAAAGTGGATAGTTATGTACAGACCAAATGTGTTAAAAAAAGAAAAGGAAAAAATATTTGTGCTCACCATTGCTGATCTCACATACTATTCTCAGAGTGCAGTCAAACAGGAAAATTTGCATGAAATATAGCCAGAAAATCAGGGGAAAATATGAATTGTGGTTGGTCACTGTTGGTCATCAGATGTCATTGGAGAGAATCATTTTCAAGTTCTAACTCTTAGGTGCATATGCTCAAATATGGAAACTTCTCCATTATAACAAAAATGGCAAGAAAATTGGTTTTAAAACATCATATTGCTCTCTACCTACATTCCAATACCAGGTGTAATAGTGTCATACTTTGGAATACAAGTCACAACACTTCATCCCAATGTTTTATTATACTAAACATACCAAGAATACTTCTACCCTTAATATTTGTGGAGAGGTTTTAGCATCCTAGATATCTAATCATCTGATGATGATGTATCATCACTGCCATAATCTGACAGGTCCATCATATTTACATCTGCCCCATTCTCTCGCAACAGCCTTGCAATGGCCTCATGACCTCTCCATGCTGCTGCCAGAAGTGCATTTCCATATTCTCCTCCCTGTGCATTTACATCTGCCCCCTTCTCTATCAGCAGCTTTACAATGGCCTCATGGCCTTTAGTTGATGCTGCCTGGAGTGCATTTCCATACTCTCCTCCCTGTGCATTTATATCTGCCCCCTTCTCTATCAGCAGCTTTGCAATGGCCTCATGGCCTTCATGTATTGCTGCCTGGAGTGCATTTCCATACTCTCCTCCCTGTGCATTTACATCTGCCCCCTTCTCTATCAGCAGCTTTGCAATGGCCTCATGGCCTTTAGTTGATGCTGCCTGGAGTGCATTTCCATACTCTCCTCCCTGTGCATTTATATCTGCCCCCTTCTCTATCAGCAGCTTTGCAATGGCCTCATGGCCTTCATGTATTGCTGCCTGGAGTGCATTTCCATACTCTCCTCCCTGTGCATTTACATCTGCCCCCTTCTCTATCAGCAGCTTTGCAATGGCCTCATGGCCTGTAATTGATGCTGCATAGAGTGCATTTCCATTATATCCTCTCTGTGCATTTACATCTGCCCCCTTCTCTATCAGCAGCTTTGCAATGGCCTCATGGCCTGTAATTGATTGCTGCATAGAGTGCATTTCCATACTGTCCTCTCTGTGCATTTACATCTGCCCCCTTCTCTATCAGCAGCTTTGCAATGGCCTCATAGCCTTGATTTGATGCTGCCTGGAGTGCATTTCCATACTGTCCTCCCTGTGCATTTACGTCTGCCCCCTTCTCTATCAACAGCTTTGCAATGGCCTCATGGTGTCTTATTACTGCTGCATAGAGTGCATTTCCATACTCTCCTCCCTGTGCATTTACATCTGCCCTCTTCTCTATCAGCAGCTTTGCAATGGCCTCATGGCCTTCATCTATTGCTACCTGGAGTGCATTTCCATAATTGCCTCCTTGTGCATTTATATCTGCT